AAGAATGTCTATTTGTTCACACGCCATTCAAAAGGGATGCTGTCAATGTTAACTAACATGATATATAAAAAATTATATTTCACTGTTGTTTTAGAATGTATATTTTTTATTAGACATAACAAATATCTTCATATTTTTTACAGGAAAGTGCAGCTTCTTCATTAGCAGCACTTTATCCCCCCACTTGATAATACAGGTTGTTTTTAATTCATGACATAATCATACATTCTGCTGAGGTTAAATCAGTAACCACAATCATCAAAAAGACAAAAATGATTGATTTCTATGCTGAGTTCCTTATATATATAAATTTTTAAATTCCTACAAAACCTCACAAAGCAGTATTGTTTTTCCATTTTAGCCCACTAGCTTGTAAACGTGAAGGCTATAAAGACAGAACCCATATTTACTTTGTTCACTCCTACAATTACACATAGAATATGAATAAATATTCACAACAAATCAATGACATAAGCATGATTATTGTGGATATTTTACAGATGAGGAATAGAAAGATGAAGTAACAAGACTACAACAGCAAGTAAACAGTGAAGCTAGGCTTTGGTTCTATGCAATCTTGGCCAAGAATTTATGTTCTTAACCACTATACATATTGCCAAGGTGATTTTAAGATATTTGTTACAAAAAATTCTGTAAATAAAACTTTTCTGACTTTGTTATATTCTTGCTCTACACAGGTATCTAACAATTTATGATTAATTATACAAATAAATTAAAGACACATTTTAAAACGAAGAAGTTAACAGGGATTGGAATCAAACACAAAATGATTCACTAGGAAAAATGAACTTACACAGTTCAGGAAACAACAGAATTATAGGAATGAAAAATAGAGAATACTGACTTAAATCAAAATTAAAACAACAAAAATAATAGCAAACATTTAAATGCTTACCATGTGCCATCTGTTCTAAAATAGTTTGCATATATTAGCTTGTTTAATCCTCACAAAAGTCTTAGGAAGCTGATTCTTATTTTATTGATGGGTAATTTGAGGCACAGAAAAAAGGAATGTGCTCAAGGTAACACAGCTAATAAGGAGATATAAACCCAGGCACTCTGGTTGTAGAATTCATGCTCTAAATTACTATGCTATACAAAAAATAAGTTTATACTGCTATAAGTCACTAACATTACACTCAAGAGTTTGCACTTTCCAAAATACAGACTACCTTTGTAATCTCAGCTTTTGACAATGACCATGGTTTTTGGTTGTATATTAGTTAATATAAATTCACAATATTTTAAAAACAATGTATAGCTCTCAGATGAAAGTCTATGTTACATGTCTATAAAACTCAACACAATGTAAATTGCTAAGATACACAAAAGTTATTTTAGACCGTAATAAACCACTGTTAATAGACCTCAAATTTTCAGGTAAAAAGAGCAAAGTTTAGATTTTAATTGCTCTCAACAGGGCATTTACACAATAAAATTTTCTGTTTGTACTAAATTTTAATCTAACAAAAATCTATGCTATCACCACTTTATTACAGCAGCTGAGATTGATTCAAAACCATACTTTAAAGGTCTAAGACATTATTTAAAAAAAAAAAACACTACAAGTTCCAGTTAAGATGGCAGAGTAGGTAAACACTGTGCTTGCCTCCTCCCATGACCACATGAAAATTACAACTAAATTATAGAATCAGCCTGGAGAACCACTGAAGACTAGCTGAACAGAACTTTTATGACTAAAGACATACAAAAGAAATCACCTTAAGACTGGTATGAGGGGCAGAGACATAAAAGGAGCTGGCCTCACACCCATGTGCGTAGTTTTGAATCAGGAGGGATATCTTAGCTGTAGAGATAACCCCAGAAGAACTCACAATGGTTCCCCAGCACAGAGCACCAGTGTCAGCAAGGGAAGTCTCTACAGCTTCTGGCTGTGAAAACCAGTGGAGCTTGTGGCTGAGTGAGACAGAAGGCTGCAGTAGTCCCAGGCATTCCTCTTAAAGGGCCCACATACAAACTTACTTGCTGACTAACTCATTCCACCTCTGAGGCAGCAGCTCAAAAGGCATCAGGGAAATGGAAAGTAAATGAACTGTCTGGCTTCGGGGCAAGCTTTTTCCCAGATAGAAGCACTGACAGAGGCCATTGTTCCTTTGTTGAGCCTTACCCCGGTCAAACGTGTAGACTTAGGTTAGTGCCATATATGAGTCTCCATCAACCTAGATAACACTATTTGCCCAACTTTGGTAATTTCCTGAGACTCTGCCCCAACCAACTTGCAAGCCCACCCAAGCCAATTCCAGTGGTGCTTCCATATAAACTGCCTGTCATGGCTCGTGCTGCAGACTTTCGTGAAATCTCTCAAAGGTTCACAAACCCCAAACAAGTAGCATCTAGCCTTGGTGTGCCCCATCCCTCTTGTTAAGCAGTCCCAAGCCTGCAGCTTAGCTCCTCTCAGGCACCTTCACACCCAGCATGAGTGGAAGACATCTGCAGATCGCTTTGTGGTTCATGCCAGGTGGTCCCAGGCAGAGCACAGGCAGTGGCTGAACTTGGCCTACGGCAGAGCCCCTCCCAGGAGACCCCTGGGCCAGCACACCCAGTGGCCACTTAGGACAGAGCAAGAGTACCACTCAGCTGCCACCACAAACGACACACCCAGAGAGCAGACTTGGCAGGCACCAGAGCTCTGCTCAGTGGAGTCAGCCCCTACACAACAGCTCCTCCACTATAGTCACAGCCAGTCCTCACAATCAACCAATCTAAGGGTCAGTCTCTCCCAGTGACATGCAAACAACCACCTAGGGTCAACTACAACAGGAGGACACATACAAAACTACACAAGGGACAGACAACTGGAGCGCCTGGCTCAGGTGACCAGGAAGACTGTGTTACTGGGCCCCATTGGACAACTACTACATAAAGCTATTCTAGGACCAGAAGACATAGTAACTCTACTTAATGCATAGAAACAAACACAAGGCAGCAGTCAAGACAAAGAAAAGAAACATGTCTCAATGAAAGAACAGAACAAAGCTCCAGAAGAAGAACTAAACGAAATGGAGACAAGCAATCTACCAGATGCAGAGTTCAAAAAACTGGTTATACGGATGCTCAAAGAACTTAGGGGAAGAGTAGATGAACTCAGTGAGACCTTTAACAAAGAGATAGAAAACATAAAAAGAAAGAAAATGAAAAAGAACCAGTAAAAAATCTAAAAAGAAAGAAAATGAAAAAGAACCAGTAAAAAAATGAAGACTACAATGACTGAAATGAAGAACACATTAGAGAAAATCAACAATAGGTTAGATGAAGCAGAGGATCAACTCAGAGATTTAGAGGTAAGGTAGCAGAAAACACTCAATCAGAACAGCAACAGGAAAAAAGAATCCAAAAAAATGAAGATAGTTTAAGGAGCCTCTGGGACAACATCAAGTGTTAACAATATTTCTATCATAGTGGTACCAGAAGAAGAGAGAACAATAAATTGAAAACCTATTTGAAGAAATAATGATAAAAAAACTTTCCAAACCTGGTGAAAGAAAGAGACATAAAGGCCCAGGAAGCACAGAAAGTCCCAAACAAAATGAACCCAAAGAAGCCCACACCAAGACCCACTGTAATTAAAATTCCAAAGGTTAAAGACAAAGAGAGAATCTTAAAAACAGTGAGCAAAAAGCAACTGGTTACCTACAAGGGAGCTCCCGTAAGACTGGCAATAATCTCTCAACATATCTTGCAGGCCAGAAGGATTGGCATGAAATCATCAAAGTTCTGAAAAACAAGGACCTACAACCAAGACTATTCTATCCAGCAAAGCTACCATGTAGAATAAAAGGACAAATTAAGAGCTTCCCAAATAAGAAAAAGCTAAAGGAGTTCATCAAATAACATCAAACCAGTATTACAGGAAATTAGAGTGACTTCTTTAAAAAGAAAAAAAAATATCAAAATTATGAATAAAAAATGGCAATAACTACATATCTATCAACAATTACTTTAAATGTAAATAGATTAAGTGCTCCAATCAAAAGATAAGGTGGCTAACTAGATAAGAAAACAAGAATCAACATATGCTGCCTACAAGAGACTTCACTTCAGATCAAAAGACACACACAGACTGAAAGTAAAAGGGTAAAAAAGATATCACATGAAAATGGAAACAAACAAAAAAAGCTGGGGTAGTAATACTAATATCAGACAAAACAGACATAAAAAAATTAAAAAAATTTTTTAAAAGGCTCTAACAAAATATAAAGAAGGACCCAGTAATATTTCTGGGTATTTAACCAAAAAAAATCCAAAATATTACTTGAAAGGAACACATGTCCCTATATGTTCATTGCAGTATTATTTACAACAGCCAAGATATGAAGGCTACGTGGCTGTCCATCAGTAAATGAATGGATGAAGAAGTGGTACACATATACAATGGAATATAACTTAGCTATAAAAAAGAATGAAATCTTGTCATCTGCAACAACATGAATGGACCTAGAGGGTATATTCTGCTGAGTAGAGTAAGTCAAACAGAGAAAGACAAGGTCATGAGATTTCACTTATATGTGAAATCTAAAGAACAGGATAAACAACAGAAATAGGCTCACATATAGAGGGCATTTTGATGGCTGCCAGATTGGAAGGTGGTGAGATGAGTGAAGAGGGGAAGGTATTAAGATGTATAAATTGGTAGTTACAAAATAGTCATGAGGATGTAGAGTATAGTCAGTAATATTGTAAAAACTATGTACGGTGTCAGATAGGTACTGCATTATCAGGGTGACCATTTCCTAAGTTATATAAATGTCTAATCACTGTGTTTTATACCTGAAACTAATAATATTATATGTCAACTATAACTGAAAAGATATATATAAATTAAAAAATATATATTGTCAAATATTGTATTTTACCTTTTTTTTGTAGAGTATGAGTAAAATACATGGTAAACAGTGAAGCTTTATACAAATAGTATTATTTCATGTAAAAATGGTGGGGGAACAAAGGTGCATACTTACCCTTCTCCTCCCATTCTTGTTATCTTAAGGCGAAAATCGACAGAATTCAGACTGGGAGGCTTCCATTTCAAAATTTCATCACATCGACCAGGTTTATATTTCTAAAGTGAATTAAAATGATAACAGTTAATAAGAAGTTAAAATTTTAAATTCGATTTATTAAATATAACATAGATTACTTTCTATTAAGCAAAATTACTATTCTTTTCTGAACTCAATTTTTATTTTCAACTAGTGAGTGAAGATAAGTATCTTCCTCCTTACTGATGGCCTTTCTCCGCTCTCTGCCAAAGCATGGAGACCTTGTTTTGTGAACGTCCAGAAAAATAATGAAAATTGTTATTCTCTCCAATCTTTCTATGGCTTAAAGTAAGTTTAATCGTTTTTAAAATTTGTTTTTTCTTGTTCAGCTTTACTGTGGGATAATTTACAATGAATAAAATTAACCAATGAATTTGGCAAATGGATACAATCATGTAACCATCACCAAGATGAATATATATAGCATTTTAGTCACCCAAAAAGTTTCTTCCTGGCATATGCAGGCAATTCCCTCCCCCCAATTCTCTGGCAACAGTGACCTTCCTTCTATCATGGTAGTTTTGTCTTTATTAGATTTCATGAGAAATCCTCAATATGAAGTTTTCTAATTTATCTATGCTGGTGCATACATTAGTAGTTTGTTCCTTTTTATTACTGAGAAGAATTCTATTTTATGTATATACCACAAATTGTTTATACAAGTCATATCTAGGTTGTTCCCAGTTTTAGGTATCATAAATGATGCTGCTATGAACATCTGTATGGACATGACTTTATAACTCTTGGGTAAAAACCTAGGAGTAAAATGGCTGGGTCGCATGGTAAGTATATGTTTAATTTTATAAGAACTGTCTATGTTTTCCAAAGTGACTGTAACATTTTCCATTCCCACCAGTAATATATGAGAGGTCTATGTACTTTCAGTCTAATTCTAAATTTTTAATTCTAAAGTGTGTCTCATAATTTTAATTTCCATTTTCTCAATGGTAAAAGATGGTGAAGATCTTGTAATCTGCCTATTTGATATTTCTGTATCTTCTTTGGTGTAGAGTCTACTCAAAATATTATCCTTGTTTTTACTGCGTAATCTCATTATTAACTTGCAAGGTCTGCTTATATATTCTGGATAAAGAGCCTTGGTTGGATATATGTACTACAAATTTCTACTGGTCTTTAGCTTGCCTTTTCATTTCTTAATTTCTTTCACAGAGTAAAGTTTTGTTTTGTTTTGTTTTGTTTTCAATGAAGTCAAAAATCATCATTTTCCTTCTGGCTTTATTGAGGTATGATTGAGAAATAAAAATTTTAAGATGCACAATATGATGTTTTGACATCTATTGAGAAATGATTACCACCATCAAGCTAATTAATATATTCATCATCTCGTTTGTTTTTTGTTTTGTTTTGTTTTGTTTTGGGTGGTGAGAACATTTAAGATCTACTCTTTTATCAAATGTCAAGTATACATTAGTATTAACCATCCTCACTATACTTTACATTAGGTCTCCAGAAATGATTCATCTTATAATGGAAAGTTTGTACCCTATGATAAATATCTCCCCTTTTCTACTATCCCCTAGCCTCTGACAACCACCATTCTACTATCTGTTATGAGTTCAACTATTTTTGTTAAAATTTCATATATATGTGAGACATGTGATATTTGTCTTTCTCTGCCTGGCTTATTTCACTTAGCATAATGTACTCCAGGTTCATCCATGTTGTTAGGAATGACAGGATTTCCTTCTTTCTTAAGGCTGAATAATATTCTATTGTGTATGTCCACCACATTTTCTTTATTCATCTGTAGACAGACATTTCAATTGTTTCCATATTTTGGCAACTGTGAATAATGCTGGAGTAAACATGGGAACACAGATATCTCTTTAAGATACTGGTTTTCTCTCTTTTAGATACATACCTAGAAGTGGGATTACTGGATTACATGATAGCTCTGTTTTTAATTGCTTGAGGAACCACCACACTGTTTTTCATAATAGCTGTATCAAATTACATTCCCATCAATAGTGCACAAGGTTCCCCTTTCTTCACATCCTCACCAATATTTGTTATCTTTTGATTTTTTTAATAATGACCATTCCAACAGGTGTGAGGTGATTTCTCACTGTGGTTTTGATTTACAATTCCCTGATGATTAGTGATGCTGAGTATCTTTTCAAAATCAGTAATTTTAGTCTATGGCCATGCCACCCTGAACAAGCCCGATCCCGTCTGATCTCGGAAGCTAAGCAGGATTGGGCCTGGTTAGTACTTGGATGGGAGACCACCTAGGAACACCAGGTGCTGTAGGCGTAAAAAAATAAAAAACAAAGGATTATAAGCTGACAAGGTCTTTGCAATCTGTGAGGTCAACCAAGGGTTGCCTTGCCTAAAAAAAAAAAAAAAAATCATTAATTTTACATTCTCATCATTTACGTTTTCTGTGCCCTCTTTAAAAATTCTCTGCCTATCCTAAGATCACTGCAATTTCCTACTATTTTTTCTTAAGAGAAATTTTATAGTTTTAGCTCTTATTTTCAGGTATATAATCTGAGGTTAACTCATCTATATGGTATGAAGTAAGGGACTATGTTTTCTGTTTGGCAAATGAATATCAAATTGATCCAGTACTACTTATTGAAAAGATTATCCTTTTCTCACTGAGTTGCCTTGGCACCTTTGTCAAAACCAAATATAGAGATATTTCTATTATCACTAATGTGTTGCATTGATAAACATGCCTGTCTACTTGCTAGTAAGCACTGATTACTGTATGTCTCAATTACTGTAGCTTTATAAGTTTTGACACCAGGTTACATAAGTCCTCAAACTCTGGCTTCTTTTTCCAAATTCTCTTATCTCAAAATTTTAAAATCAGTTTGTAAATTTCTATGAACAATAAGTCTATTGGGATTTTAATTAGGATTGCACTGAATCAACAGATCAATTAAGGAGAAAATAACATCTTAACAATACTGAATCTTCCAAGTCATAACCTCTGCAAATCTACTTAGGTCTTCCTAAATTTCTCTTATCAATGTTTTGTAGTTTCCAGTACACAGGTCTTGCATAACTTTAAACTTATTCCTAATAATTTAATATTCTGAGTGGTATAATCAACATAAAAAATCAGTTGTGTTTCTATAAAAGAGCAATTAACAACCTGAAAAAAGAAGAAAGCAATTCCATTTACAACGGCATCTAAAATTGCAAAATACTTAGGAATTAATTTAACCAAGAAAAGGAATAATATGTATACAGAAAACTGTAAAACATTGCTGCAAAAGATAAAGAAGACCTAAAAATGAAAAGATATCCCATGTTCATAGACAAGAAGTGTGATATTGTGATTTATAATAGGAAGTATACATTTGGTCTTCATCCTCTTTTCTGACACATATCTCCTAAAACTCTTGGAATTTCCGAAGTGATGAGAGTAATAAAGAAAGGCCTTTTGCTATGTTAATAAAATGGCTTTTGGAAGCACCTAAGACTGGAAACTGGTTGTCAGAGGAGCCAACCACAGGATAAGAGGGTTGGAACTTTCAGTACTACCCCCTGGACCTCAGGAGAGGGGAAAAGGGCTGGAGGCTGGATAAATTGCCAGTGGCTAATGATTTAATCAATCCTATGTAATGAAGTCTCTGTAAAAATCCAAATGACAAGATTCAGAGAGGTTCTGAGTTGGTGGACACGTGGAGATTTGAGGAGAGTGACATACCTGAAGAGAGCAGGGTAGTTCCACACCCATTCCCCATACCTTTTTCATTTCTTCAATCTGGCTGTTTCAGAGTCATATCATTTTATAATAAACCAGTAATCCAGTTAAGTACAATGTTTCTCTGAGCTCTGTGAGCTGCTCTAGCAAATTAATAAAATCTGAGGTGGGGGTCATGGGAATCTCTGATTTATAGTCAGTTGGTCAGAAGTACCAGTAACAACCTAGACCTACAATAGGCATCTGAAGTCTAAGAAAGGGGTCAATGTAACCTCCAATCTACAACTGGTCATTCAGAAGCACAGGCAACAACCTGAGCTTGTGAATGCTGTCTGAAGTGGGAAGTGGGGGGTAGTCCTCTAAGACTGAGTCTTCAACCTGTGGAATCTGATGCTATCTCTGGGTAGACAGTGTCAGTATTAAGATGAATTACAGGACACCCAGCTGTTGTCAAAGATTTGCTCGTTGGTACAGAGAAAATCCCATTCTCACATTGGAAATGGTCTCAGAACACCAATTTAGGAAGACTGAATATTGCTAAGATGCTAATATTACCCAAAGCAATCCACAGATTCAATGCGATCCCTACTGAAATTCTAACAGCCTGCTTTGCAAAAATAGAAAAGCCGATCCTCAATTTCATATAGGGTTGCAAGAGGCTCTGATGAGCCAAAAGAATCTTGAAAAAATAAACAAACAAACTTGAAGGACTCACACTTTCTAATTTCAAAAATTACTATAAGACTACAGTAATCAAAATAGAGTTGCTGACATAAGGATGGAAATATCGACCAATGAAATGGAATTGAGAGTACAGAAATAAACTCATACATCAGTAGCCAACTGATTTTTTAACAGGAGTGCTAAGGCCATTTAATGGGAAGAGAACACTCTTTTCAAAAGATAATGCTGGAACAACTGGATTTCCAGATACGAAGAATAAACTGGACCCCTATCTCCCACCATATATAAAAACTACATAAAAATGATCCAACAACCTAAATGTAACACGTAAAACCATAAAACTCTTAGAAGAAAATATGGGTAAATTTTCATGATCTTGGGTTTGGCAGTATATTCTTAGATATGACACTAAAAGCATGAGCAATTTATTTTTTAAAAAGAGAGAGATAAAATGGACTTCATCAAAATTAAATTTTTCTACATCACAAAACATCAAGAAAGTGGAAAGACAATCTATAGGAGAAAATATAAGAAAATCATATATTTGATAAGAGTTTAATGCCCAAAATATATAAAGAACTGATACGACTCAATAATGACAAAAAAAAAAAACAATTAAAAAATTGTCAAAGAACTTGAAGAGACAGTTTCCATAGA